AGTTCTACCTGGTTGTTTTTTATGATTTCTGTATCTTCTTTATGTCCTCCTTAAGTTCCTGAAACAGTCTTATCATCAGTGATCTAAACTCTGTCTCTGAAAGGTTCGATACCTCTATTTCATTTAGTTGCATTTCTTGAGTTTTCTTCTGATCTTTTACTTGGGACATGTTTCTTTGTTTCTTCATTCTGGCTGTCGCTCTGATTGCTTCGATGTATTAGATCACCATTCAGATGGAATCTCCAGCTGAACAGGACCCTGGCTGCCTTTTCTGTGAAGACCCCCAGAACTAGTTCAGTCACACCATCAGCTTCCTGAGTTTGATGGGAAACTCATACTATTCTGCAGTTTCTGGAACCTTGCTCCTTCTCAGTTCTTTCCTGTGGTAACAATCTCATTTCCTCTTGGGGGATGGATGTGTCTGCCTCACAAGGGAGAAGTTCCTAAACGTGCATGGCAGGGCAAACATCTGATTCTTCTGTCAAAACTTTAAATATTTCAGTTCACTCCGTTTTTGCTTGCACAGTGTCAAAAAAGAAGTTTAATTAAGACCTTTGCTTACTAAAGTGTTTTCCCTTCTGGCTTCTGCAGGGTATTCTCTTATCTTTGATTTTTGTCTAGCTCATATGTGAGATACTTGGGTGTTCACTTTCGTTGTTCGTCATGTTTAGTGTCATTTGAGTTTCATGGATTGACAGTGTGCTGTCTAGCATTAATTTAGGGAAAAAGTGATTGTTACTTCACTCATTTTTTTCTGCTCTTTTGTTTTTCTTTTCCTTCAGGTAGTCCTGTAATGTGTATGTACATTTTCTATTTAAAGAAGGTTGTCCTAGGGTTCATGGATATTGTGTTCTTTTTCATTTTTGCATTAGACTTAGCTGAAATAGATTTTTGTTTTTTAAGTACAGGTCATGATAAGAGCTAAATATTTGGGGGGGAAGAACAATATTTGGGGATATTTTTCTGAACAATGTATTTATTTTCTCTTTCCTAGTTTAGGAAATACTGGGTTATTTTGTGACTAAATGCTCTGATAGATCTAAGAAGGGAAGGTCATTTCAAGTTGTTTGGCTTTTTCTAGTGAGGTCAGGAATGACATCTTGTAAGTTACTTAAATGCCAGACCAGAAACCCAAACTCTCTGACTCTACTTTCTGATGATTGACTGCTGACAGCTTTTAAGCCTCATCACTCCGTATTCCCCTTGTGCCCCACATGTGTACAAGGTACATAGAAGCCTTAGTGGTCTTTATTGTTCTCTTCTGGCATAACAAGCTTGAGTGCATGTTAGCCTCGTATGTGAACTCTCACTCTAGCCCACCGCTGACCTCAAAAAAAAATTAAAAAGTCCCCAAACTTTTCCTTGCTTTTCTTAACATATTTCATGCCTGCTTTAGAGGTCTGTCTTACTCTCCTCAGAGACCTCAATTATGGCAGCTGTCACCCCTTTCATACCCTAGTGGCCGAGTATGGGGTCATTAGCTGAGGGATTCCCATGCTCCGGGGCTGAGGTCTTGTGTTCCTGTACTCCATGGGGGAGCTTGGACATGACAGAAGAAGGGAGGGCAGCCTCTAGGATGTCTGGTCAGGAAAACTTCCTCCTGATTGGGGAGTGGAGATGTTATGTTCTCTTGGAGGAATGCACTGCGGACATCTTAGGTAGTTTATAACCATGCACAAACTCACCATCAAACCATTGTGGATGTCACTGAACTCCCTTGTAATCTGCTGCTTATAAGCTGTTCCTCACCGTTGGCAGGGCTCAGGTTACTTGGTCAATGGTTTTGCTAGAATGATCACTTCTAGAATATTATCATCTCAATGTGCATTCCTACATGCACCAGAAGTTGGCTGGAAGTAGCCCTGAGATATGAGTTTAGCGATATTGTAGCCTAAGGTGTCATGCCTTTATCCTTGTCCCTGAGCTGTAAGCTCCAAATGACTTTCTAGACCAGCAGTTCTCAACCTTCCTAATGCCGTGACCCCTTAATACAGTTCCTCATGTTGTGGTGACCCCCAACCATAAAATTATTTTCGTTGCTACTCTATAACTGTAATTTTGCTACTGTTATGAATTGTAAATATCTTTTTGTTTTCTGATGGTCTTAGGCGACCCCTGTGAAAGGGTCGTTCGACCCCCAAAGGGGTCGCACCTACAGGTTGAGAACTGCTGTTCTAGACCATAATTGGACAGAAAAAGAAAGGATGAATTCAGTCAATGATAAACATTACATGAGATCTGAGCAGTGCTTCCCCGTAAGAATATTTTCATTCAGCCAGCTGCATCTGATTATGCACATAACTTAGGAGATATTGCAAGTCAGGATTCATACCATCAAATAAAGTTAATGTCTCAGTGAAGCAAGTCACAACAATTTTTTGTTTTGCAGTGTATAAAGAAGTTCTGTTTACACTGTACCACACCCTGTTAAGTGTGCAATACCATTATGTCTAAAGGATCAGTGTACATGTATCATCTGCGCATTCAGTGAGTCATAATCGTATTGCTGGTGGAGACTCTTGTCTTGATATTGATGAAAACATAATATCTTCCAAGTGCAATAAAGTGAAACACAATAAAATGAGGTATGTCTGCACTTATAATGGTCTAGAAGACTTTTAGGATGATATGGCCAGCTAAGCTTTGTTAAAAGAAGAATTTCCACAGGCCTCCTTTACTCTTCGTTTTTGGTGATGGGAATGGACGAAAAAACTTCTAATTTTTCGCTGTATCTTTAGTCATTAAAACCTCATGCAGATGTGACCCCCTGTTTAGTGGAGTGCTATATATGATGGGTAATAAGGAAGGAGATGAAAGAATTATTCTGAAAGAGAATCGTTGGTTTTAAAATGATAATTTTTGTTTCAATTGTGTAGCACATCTGTTCTTTTCCAACATGGTCTGAACACTGCTGTTAGAGAAATAAGGTGGAATGTGATCAGAGTAAAAATGTGAACCTTCTATGTGTTTGTACTGGTGTTACCTTTATAAGGAAGTAAGTGTGGATAGAGAGTAAATTTCTAATGATGAAATCCTAGAATAAATGTTTGGAAATGGAATAATCATATCTAACCTGCATGTAAATGGTAATCTAGGGGTCCAGTGCTGTCAGTCATGAATCACATATATTGGGATGTTCTAGGACTCAATGGCCTTTGAGGATGTGGCTGTGACCTTCACCCTGGAGGAGTGGGCTTTACTGGATCCTTCACAGAAGAAACTCTATAGAGATGTGATGCGGGAAACCTTCAGGAACCTGGCCTCATTAGGTATGCGTGACAACTTCATCTTCACCTTGTTACTTAGAGGCCAAATGTTTCTTGCTCATCAGCATTTTTCTAAGATGTGAAATGTGGAAGTGGGGGACATTGATAAATAAACTGAGCGTGGTCACAGTGCATCACAGAACTAGAATCTAATGATTTTTGTATAATTTCTAAAACTTTCAGATCACTGTTCTGGGTCTGCATTTTAGGTAAAGAATGGGAAGATCATGACATTGAAGACGAATACAGAAACAAGGAGAAAAAACGAAGGTGGGTCATATTCACAATAGAAAGCATTGTCTCACATGAGAAACCTGGTATGCTACAAAATATTAAAAAGAAGCATCCAAAACAACACCTGCTTCAAATTTATTACTTGTGAAAAAATTTTCACCAAATTACTTTCTTGTATAAGACATAGATGTTCAGTGTTTATAAAATAGTTCACATGGAGACATTATTAAAGCCTATAATGAACTTCACTGTTTTGAAAATAGGAAGGCTGAGTATTGTCTTGCAGAGTATTCAGTTATTCAATGTCAGACAATTCAGACAAGACACCAAACCTACACTTCACTTTATCAGTGATTTTATTTTTATTAGACTATTTGAACTACATTGTTATGTTTTATAGTAATCATTAATGTGCTTCTTCATGTTTTTCAGAAGTCATAAGATGGAGAGACTCTGTGAAAGTAAAGAAGGTAGTCAATGTGAGAAAAACTACAGCAGTATTCCAAATCACAATTTGAAGAGGAAAACTCTTCCTAGAGTAGAACCGTGGGAATACACCATGTGTGGAAAAGTCTTCACGCATCATTCATCTCATAATAAGCACACATGTCACACTGGACGCAAGTCCTCTGAGTATCAGAAACATGGAGAGAAACCACATAATTATAAGGTATTAGGCAGAGTGTTCAGTTATCTTCAATTTTTTGAAAAACATGAAAAAAATGACAATGGAGAGGAACCTTGTAAGTGTAAGGAATGTGGGAAAGCCTTCATGTCGCTCAAAACCCTTCAAAGACACATGAGTACGCATTCTGTAGATGTTCCTTACAAATGTAAGGTGTGTGGGAAAACCTTTACTTCTTCAGCTTCACTTCAAATATGTGAAAGAACCCACACAGGAGAGAAGCCTTATCAATGTAAACACTGTGGAAAAGCTTTAAGGTGCTACCAAAGTCTTCAAATACATGAAAGAAATCATACTGGAGAGAAACCCTATATATGTAAAAAATGTAGTAAAGCATTCAGTTGTCTCCCTTATCTGCGAAGTCATGAAAGAACTCACACTGCAGAGAAACCCTATGAATGTAAGGAATGTGGAAGAGCCTTCAGATATCATCAAAGTTTTCGAAAACATGAAAGAAAATTTATTGGAGAGAAGCTCTATGATTGTAAGGAATGTGGGAAAGCTTTCAGATGTTTTAAAAGTTATCGAATACATAAAAGAAATCACAGTGAAGAGAAACCCTATGAATGTAAGGAATGTGGAAGAGCTTTCAAAAGTCATCACACTTTTAGAATACATGAAAGAAAATTCATTGGCGAGAAGCCCTATGAATGTAAGGAATGTGGGAAAGTCTTTCGATGTTATAAAAGCTTTCAAATACATGAAAGAAATCATACTGCTGAGAAACCCTATGAATGTAAAAAATGTAATAAAGCATTCAGTTGTCTCCCTTACCTTCGAAAACATGAAAGAAGTCACAATAAAGAGAAACCCTATGAATGTAAAAATTGTAGTAAAACATTCAAGTATCCCAGTGATCTTCGAACACATGAAAAAAATCACACTGAAGAGAAACCCTATGCATGTGAGGAATGTAAAAAAGCCTTCAGACATTACAGTTCATTACAAATACATGAAAGAATGCACACAGGAGAGAAACCCCATGAATGTAAACACTGTGGTAAAGCCTTCACTTGGCGCACCACCCTTCGAAGACACATGAAAATGCATACTGGAAACACACCCTATCAATGTAAGGAATGTGGGAAAGCATTCACCTGCCTCAGTTTGTATCAAAGACATGAAAGGACTCACACTGGAGAGAAACCATATGAATGTAAACAATGTGGTAAAGCCTACAGACAAAAATGTTCACTACAAATTCACAAAAGAACTCATACTGGGGAAAAACCCTATGAATGTAAGGAATGTGGAAAAGCCTTCAGTCGTAAAAAAATCCTTCAAGTACACGTAATAGTGCACACTAGAGAGAAATCATATAAATGTAAAGAATGTGGGAAAGCCTTCAGCCATTCCTCTACCTTCCATAAGCATGGAAGGACCCACTGGATAAAACCTCTTGAATGTAAGTAATATGGGAAATATTTCAATTGCCCCCCCCCATCCTTACATGTAAAATCTCCCACAAAAAGAAATAAAATCTAAATAACATGAGAAGGCTTGATGTAAATTATTCACATTTAGTGTTGCAGAAAACTCAAAATAAAGAATTATTAAAATTGTCAATAAAGCATGTTTACCATCTTTCATCAAGTGCATTATTGGAATGTGGATTTCTGCTGTAGTTGACCCTTGAACAGCTTTGGCTTTAAAGTCCCCAACCACCCTTGCAATTGAAAGTCTGATTATGACTCAAGCCAGCCTGCATATAAGTGGATTTCTAACCCTTGGTACTAAATACAGTTGACCCTTGAACAACATGAGGTTGAATTGCTTGGGTCTTGGTATATGTGGATTTTTTTTCAATAGTCAATTTTAATTATTTTCAGAAATGATTATTGATTAATTGTATGCATTGTCTTTCAACAAGAGTACATAACACTAATAGGTAGTGATTTTTCATTGAGTCAGTTAATCATATTATCTCTTTACATTTTGAAGTCTGTTATATCCATGGGTGAATTTAAGTGTATTTCTAATATTTAATTAGATTTAATTTTTAATGTGGTTTTATTTGTTTTGTGTTCAGGGGCCACTGTAAAATGACAGCTTTGTATTTGGGGGGGGATTTTCCTACTGGCCTTGTGACACTTCTTGATACCTGTAGTCCATTCTACATACCCTACCTTAATTACTGAAAAAGTTCCTTTTAGGGTGACAGTTATAAGAGCCTTTTTCCATTTTCCATGCTAATAAACAGTCAGAGTTAATTTTTATGTCAAGTTAATGAAAGAGTGTAATTACATTTGGCCTTTTGCTTTGTTTTTCTGACTGAGACTTGGTGAATAGATTCTGATTTAAGAAGAGAGACCTGTGAGCCGGCCCAGTGGCACAGTGGTTAAGAGCTGGCTTGGGATGCCAGAGGGCCCCGGTTCGGATCCCACATATGAGGGCCAGTGACACTGCCCTCTACAGCTAAGATGCTGAACAACAGCTCAACCTGGAGCTGGGCTGCCGTGAGTCACCAGCGACAGCGTAGGCTGCAGTCCCCTGCTGCAGTGGGTTGCCATGGGCTACCATGTGTGGCCAAGCAGACAGCATGAGCGGCCAGCAGCTGCCGTGAGCAGCCGTCCAGAAGCCAGCGACTGATCTGCCTCTCCCGGGAAGAGCACAATGATGGTGCCAACTTGGGCCAGTGAAGCAATATCCTCCGCAACTAGACTGAAGAACTAAAGGACAGCAACTTGTCTGTTCCCCTTCCTCCAATTTCCCAGTGCTGTCCCATCCCCCAATTACGCAATAAAAATCTTAAAAAAAATAAAGGAGAGAGACCTGTGATAGCAAAAAATATCTAGAGTTGGAGATACTCCCCCTGTTGGTAATGTTAGGAACTTGGTATTATTAGGAATGTATAAAATTCTGCATTTCTATGATTAACAGTAAAGATTCCTTATAAAGAGAAAGATACAGACATTTCCTTCATTTTTGCATTTGGTTAACAATTTGTATATACACTATGTAGTCAGGTTTTGGACATTATTATCTGGAACTTGAAATCTAGTATTGATTTGGGCCACAGATATTTGTGGTGTGTTTTGGTTGGTAATATCATTGATGGGATTTTTATTTACCTTCATGTATTTAAAATGTTATAGTATTTACATGTTTATTTTACTGCTGTGCACACTGACACAAGATGTCCACCATGGTACCATGGAGTTCCTTTCATTTAAGGAAACACCTATGTTCGTATGCACTGTTCTAGTCCATTGTGAGTTTATTCTATGAGTAGGATGACATCTATGCAAGTCTACTGTGATTTCCCAGTGAAAACACCAAAAAATGCTAAAGATATTTAGAAGCAATCACTAATGAATAATTGAGGTGAGCTATAGGAAAAGGGTATTATTTCCAGTAATATTCTAATTTAGTGTAAAGAAGATATGATAAATTTTCAATGTCTTTACCTCAGGAGTGGCTGGAAGTCTTTTGAGTCCATGATCTACAAACCTCATAGACTTTTTGCTGTTCACAGATTTCATTTCCATATGGTTAGACTTCTAGAACATGTTGTGAAAGACTGGGATACAAAAGTAATAGGTGTATGTTTTTATAAAGAGCAAAGAAATTCAATCTCTTAATTTTTAGTGTTAACTTACATATTGGGGTTTCATTCAAATGGGCTCCAAGAGTGTCCTCCTTGGGTGATGGAACTGTTTTCATCTTTTGATGAGAGTATTACTATATATTTGTGAAAACTATCAAGTACACCTAAATAAATAAATATATATATATATATATGAATTACATATGTATATAAAATAAATATATATAAAATTAAAAAAGGAAAGAGACATTGGCTTTTATATGCTAGGAGAATGTTAAACTCTCCTGAACCTTGATTTTTATGTTTAATTTTTTCCACCACTATGGGATCCTTGATAGGAAAAATTGAACAAGTGGGAAGAAGGGCACATGCCACAATAGTCCTTTGTTTCAACTCTCTCTTAATTGAGGAAACACACTTTAGGGTTGCTCCTGCCCTCTTCTCATACACTTTCCCAGAATCTGTCTTTGTTAAATCATATCCTGTGAACATGTCTTTGGAAGTGTTGTGGTTCTTAAACATAAAGGTGAGTCCCAAGTGGGTTCTGCCCAAGGATGTCCTCAGTCATGGGCATCAGCATCATTTCCTTCCATTGTCTCCATAGACATTTCCAGCTCTTTTCTTTCCAACTCCAGCCTACTTGTGCCTGCTTACTTGGAAACAACTTAAGAAATCTCTGCATATCCCATTGTGAAAATTTTCTTTGAGGCAACACCAGACATCTGTGAGCTGAGAGTGTATCAGAGGCAGATATAGAACCTATGTCATAGGCACACTTCCCGCGGTCACAGCAATTTCACCTTTTACAAATTTATCAGATCTGCTAGCTTACTTATTCACCAACACTTAAAAATTGACTGACTTTGGGGAAAAAAATGGTTCAAGAATTGTCAAGTAATCATTCCATTGTCATCTACTTCCCCAGAACTGTTTACTCATAGAAGCTTTATCATCCCTGTTTTATGTATTGAAATGTCTCTAAATCACCCATGGTGGACATAAATTGCCCAAGGCATTCTCCAACCAAAATCTTCTATCCTCAGCTGCTGCTGCTGCTGCACACCACTAGAGAAGCCACTGCTAGCAACTGATAGTCTTTCTATCAGTGGAGGCCCTCGTAGGGCTCTAGTAGATGAGTAGAATATTATCTCGATCCATCTTTCCATTTTGCCCTGGGTCGTGAATACAGGACCCCTCAAGCTTTTTACCAAGAGGACTCGTCATTGAACAGATACTGGTAATTACAGAATAGACAAAAATGGTGCCTCTCACATATTCCAACTACAGGAGGCAATATGTCCTCCTGTGCTCTCATTGACACAATGTATTCTAGAGGACATCATATTGTAGACACATTGGCCACTTGGAGAGTCACTTGGAACTCATGAATGACTAGAGGGTTCATATTTTTATTACTAGTGTGCTGCAACCACATCTGATGGAGTTTACTGCAGAGAAGCTGCATTCTGTCTCTAGTTCAAACAGGACTCACTCATGAGATCAATTAGTCACACCTCAAGCAATTGTGCTAGTATCAGTAATTCCCCAGCCTAGAATTAAAGTAATCTGCACATTGTTAGTTTCCTTGACCAGCACAATGATCTAGTTGTCTCATTTCACCAAGACTAACAGCTCATTCAGCGTTTCTCCCTGTGGCTTAAAAATCTCTGGGAATGTCTTGTCTCACACTTTCTACACAAGTAGAAATCAAGGTTACTCTCTACTCTGCAGAGATTCAATCTCAATCTGCAGAAGCTCATTTCATTGCTCAGGGTGATAAATAGTCTCAAATTTCTGAGACACATACCAACACCTCAGACCTTATAGTGTTGACCTTGGCCCTGGGGTCTCTCACAGATGCAAAACTCTTTAGAAACCTCTAACCTAAAGGTCTAGGCAAAATTCAAGAACTTCTGTCTGCCATGGCTAACTTAGTGTTTGACCAATGAGCATGTTGTGGAAAGAAAAAATGCCCCTGACACTATAATTGTTGCACATACCTTCCAGGCCAAAGAAAGGGTCCCTACAGCTAGTGGCACATAGAGCTTGGTATCCTCACCCGCTCTGATGCTCTTGTAACTAATAATATAAATGGAACGAGTTTAAAATGGAGTCAGACCTGCCCTCCCACAGGAACTACCTTACACGGGTTAATCCTCAAACCTTTAGGAATGTTAAAATGGCCAAATAGCCTTTGGACTGGGCCCAAAGCAACTGTGTCCCAAAGAACTGTTTTGAAAGGTAACAAGAAAGCAGATACAGGAATACTGGACTGAACACATGACTGAATATTTAAAACTTTGTTTAGAATTAATGTCACTATGTTAACTTACATGACCAATAGAAATTTCTTCTTTCTACTGATGTAGTTCTTCCCCTTCCCTTTCTCATAAATACCCTTTGCCTTTGTCTCCCAATCAAAACACTTTAGGCTTCTGCCTGAAGCAGTGCTTTCTGAATAGCTGTTTTTTGGATCTCAAATAAATACTTGTTGCCTTCACTTTGACACTATGAGCAGACCATGGTAGAAACTCATAGACCAATTACTCATGCTATCATGCATGACCTGCTAAAAACAAGGACTCACCAAGACACATTAGAACTTATTGCTATTATCAACTTATTTCTAAAAATGCAAAACACTGGGTTTTTGAAAAAGATATTCAATGGAGCTAGTACCTCTCTTAGCACTTCAGGCTATAACTCTCATAGGATGACCTAATGGATTACTTACACCAGCCTTGTCTTCTTTTACAGATATCTACCTGCTGATAGAGGCTTAGTTATATTCATCTCTCAGTCTTCTGTTCTGATCATCCAGTTTACTGGCAGAATGGTCACTCCTACAGTTATTTGGTGTATTGTAATTATGCACCCTAGCCACCACTCATTTGTTCCCCTCCAGGTCTTCCCTGAGTCTGTACCCTGTGTGTCATTTCATTTTGGGCATCCTTCTTCAAAACGCCTCTCACTTTGTTGCCTTTCACTTTGACACTATGATCGGACTATGGTAGGAACTCACGTTGAGATCTAGCTTCCAAGTGTATCCTCTGTCTTATACAAAGACAGGTTTGGACGTTTTTATGTAGATATGACTTTGAAGGTGTCCGGAAATTGAAGTCTGATTGACTGGTTTTAAATGCCAATTTCTCCTCAACAGCAATGGCAAACATGTTCTTTGTTTGTTTCTACTTCTGAATTAGGTCTCAAACGATTAATTGTTGATCAAGCAGAAGAAATTGGTGCTTGGTGAGCAGTACTGAGGTAAGATCAACTTAGTTAAGAATCTGGGCCTCACCTACATGGGTACAGAACCGGGATTTTTTTGTGTTCTTATACTGATGGGGCTCATATTTGCTGATAAATAATAATTAAACTCACAAGAAACTGAAAAACAAAAAAGCTGGCTCTAAGCTGTCCAACATAAATGTACTATTTTCCCGCCAGTTGCACTCATGATGTATCATTGTCTTGAGTCACTGGTACTAACCCGGGAACACATGTCATTTAGCAAACACATCATTAATAGCAATCAAGAAATGTTCCAAATGCTCAGAACTGATGCAGCAGTCAGCTAATGATCCAGATATTTTCCTTGTAGGTAAACTCCCTGCAGCCATGGTAGCTGATGACCACTGGGCTTTGGACTATCAGCAGGCAAGGAGAGTTCTGTGCCCCTAAAAGGGCTGCTTGCTGCATGTGGTAGGCTACACAGGCAAGGTGTCACCAATAACAAGAAATGAGATCAATTAAACATGTTACTAACATAGTTTATCAGAGTTTGGAAACCATCCTGAGCATTTTCCTGGATCTCTCCCTGTAACTTGGAATAACTGGAG